ATACAAATCTTAAAGTTGCCAAGGTTAGACACCCGTTTTAAAGCTTTATGAAAGGCCATCAGAGTTGGGGCCCTTGTAATCTCTGGGGGGAGAATATTCCACAGAGCAGGGGCTACTGTGAAAAGGCTAGTTGTCTGTCAGCTGACACTTTGGGGGAGGGTGGAAATATAGTATTTGCCAGTCAACTGGCAGTTTAAAAATCTTGGTCAGTGTCCTCTACTGAAAGGCTATTGGTGGCCACAACAGAAACTGAATCTTATGACCAAGGCCAAGAGATAGTGTCCCAAGAAGATGACCACAGAATAGCCACTCAGCAAGCAGCATTTGTATTGTACCAGCTCAACTACGATCTTGCTTCTATGACTGTAGGACAGTGAGTCAATGTGGGGAAAGGAGAGTTAATAAAATATTTTATCACCCAGAAAGGAAAATGCCACAACTTATCTACTTAATGCCAGGTCAACAAATTGTAAGAGAAATCAATCCACTAATATTATGTTTGCCAAGCTGTATCTCGGAAGACAGACAGCCACCACTTGCCACCACCCTGCATAGCTGGCCCCTATCCCAAAATTTACTCACCTTCCATGTGGTATTGAGCTTATTGATATAGTTCACTAAGTCAGGAGAGAGGGGAGGGAAGTAGGGCACATTACGGGCACTCGTGAAGACCGCCAACAGGCCCAGAATTACCACAGAGCACCACATTTTGATAATGGATGCTTAAGATGCTACCTGGAAGAGAGAGAGAGAGATTAGTAATTTACACAGTTGCAATGTTGACAAAATTAGTCCTATAAAGCGATTCAAATATGCAACATGAGTAAAGCAGACATGTTTCTTCCTGGGCTTCTGCAGATGCCTTTTACTACCAGCAGCTGGTTCTGAGGAAATAGGTATCTATCTGATTTAAGATATTCCTGACAGATGCTGCGTGCACTCCAAATCCACTTCTGTCCAAGCACTGCCAGGCTTATATGAACAGGAAAATTGCCAAGCTGCCAGCACAGAATGAACAAATCTATATCTGTCTGTCTGTCTATCTGTTATACACCACAAAAACACAAAAGGTTGTGAACTCATGAAAGTGTCCAATTCCAAATCACTCTAGAGTTCATAATGAAAGATCTTCCTCTCCCACCCCATTTTCAAATGTCAGAGGATCAAACAGAAGGTCCAATGCTTTAAACCTGCATCCTAAAAGCTAGGTTGTGGAGGCCCTGCCCTTTCTTCCCCTGGTTCAGATTCAGTACAGAAATTTGGGCTGCCAGCAAGCTTAGAAAAACACTGTTGGATACAACCCAATGGAAAAACTTAACCAAGATAGAAATGCAATTTGCTTTATATTTAATTTATATGCTGCCCATCTTACCAATGTATCAGCTTACCATCTGCCACGCCAGAAAATTAAGATTAATTAATAATAAAATAATATATTGCTACATTCACTCTAGATATGACTCAGGATGGGGGAGAAATGTAGACCTATTCCCTTCCAAACCACAGCATCTGAAACAGAATTGTGCAACATATAGCACCAATTAGATGCTCTTTGGAAGTCAATGAGAATGATTTTCATTCCTGAAAGCTAGAACATTCATGCTATGGCAATGCATCAAGAACTTACTGAATGTTGCATTCAGACTGTGAAACCAAACTTGACATTTTGAGGTCTACATGTTGCAGAAACCTGGTCAGTGTACTTTGTAAACTACGACTCATCGTTTTGCATGCCATGAGAGTACAGATATTTGTAGTCTTTTCAGTAAATAATGGTTATTTAGGTCATGTCTAAATATTGTTACTCCATCATTTAATAAAAATGATGGAGCATTATATGACTAGTCCTCAACTTATGACCACAATTGAGCCCAAATTTATCTTGCTAAGTGAGACATTTGTTAAGTGAATTTTGCCCCATTTTACGATCTTTCTTGCCACGGTTGTTAAGTGAATCACTGCAGTTTTTAAGTCAGTAACATGGTTGTTAAGTGAATTGGGCTTCCCCGTTAACTTTGCTTGTCAGGTCGTCGCAAAAGGAGATCACATGACCCCCAGGACACTGCAACCATCATAAATATGAGTCACTTGCCAAGCAATTGAATTTTAATCACGTGACCATGGGGATGCTGCAATGGTCATAAGTGTGAAAAATGTCATTTTTTTCAGTGCTGTTGTAACTGTGAATGGTCACTAAAGGAACTGTTGTAAGTCAAGGACTATTTTTAGTATCAGTGCATTATAAGTATTATATCAGTCTTCACTTGTACAATATATGATCCACGTTTTAGCTCTCTCTGAAGTAAGAAACCTGTTTCAGATGGTACAACAGAAAACAAATACAATCTTCTGGCTGATCTTAAAGTTATCTTAAACAACTCTATTCTGTCCAATGCAAAATCTTATTGCTGGGAGACAAATGTTCCCAATATTTGCCTTTTATTTCTTTTGTAGAATTTCAAATAGCTATACCAGCTATTTGATTCAGAAACTTGTCATGAAACCTCTACCAAATTCCTGCATTTCAAGATATTGGGCAGCTGATATTAAAAAAATCAAATAATCCCCAAACCCTCCCAAAGTAAAACCCTGCCAACAGTTAATTAAACCAGTCATGGGTCACACACTGGAAAATGCTAGAATGCGACTACAATTCTTACTTCCTTCACTCCTTTTTTGCCTGTTTCCACCTATTGTTTGCTATTGCTTGAATTCTTTCACGATAGATCCAGCAGTTCATAACATGATAATGAAGTGTGTGTTGAGTATTGAGAAAGTCCAGTTGTCTCCTGAAAAGCACCTTTGGGACAACCATACCTGGATGACTAAGAATCTCCATAGACATTTTGTTATGCACTTTGGGATGAACATCCTTCAAATGGAGCGGAAGTATGAACAGATTTCCAGAAAACATTGCAGACTACTGGAACCATTTGCACTTCAGTTTGAGAGGCAGACAACACAGACTCATCCCCAACAGCCTACACCTGTCTTCAACACCAAAGGGACACAGGGCAGAAAACATCCTGCAGCCAGGAAGCCTCCACAGACATTTGCCCTACTCAGGTGACCCTGAGGACATAGACAAACTTCCAAATGGTCTCAAGGACTCTAAAAGAATGCAAATGACCAGCTGTCTGCAAGGAATATAAATCCTTCCATTCCCCTCCATTCAGTCATAGCTGAAGAAGCTTCTTGAGTGAGAAGCAAAACATCTTCAAAGAAAACAAGTCCAGATGCCTCCTGAAAAGGACCTTTGTGATAACCATGACTTGGATGACTGAGAATCTCCATAGACATGTTGAGTGGGGAGGGAGCATGAAAGAAAACCAGATGCTATAGTAAGCATCTGTTGTTTGTTAAAAACAACAGCAGAAAATGGGCCTTCCAATTCTGCAAACTATTACACAATTACAGAAACTCTACTATTAGCTATCTTACCCACTCATACCCTTGAGAGGGCTGGAATCTCATTACTAAATCAAAGCAATAAGCCTTGCCTAGTTGAACTTGCATCTTAGGGAAATTAAATCCCTATTCAACCACAAAGCTCTTTGCACAGCCAGTGCCCAGGGTCATCTATTTCATGAGATTCCATTTCTGTATCTAGAGAAGGATCTCCATACATAAAACAGTGAGCTAACATAATAAAAAAATAGGATACAGATGTGACATGCAGTAATTTTACATGATAAACGTCCTTGGGATATGGAGAGGGGGAATATTTCTTCGATATTCATCTGACATGTCACAGAATTAGAAAAAGCATTTGGTTGCACAATCAATAGGATGGAGAGGGGAAGACAACAGATTGGTTTAGATAAACAGAAAGACAGAAAACTGGTTGCACCTCTTTCCTCTTTTAATATAAAATAGTAGTTGCCAACTTGGGAGTTACTACCACTAAAAGATTTTGGAAATGTTTATGGTTACTGCTGATTTATTTCTAAAATTGTAGAGCTTGTTAATCTGACCCAGCAAGAGGCAATTTGGAGCTTGCTATTCATGCAAGGGTCATTTCTTCCTTGTCCATTGTATAACTTGAATAAAGTTTTTTAAATGCACAGAATGTTTCAACTCTTCAAAAACAGGACATACTGGAAGTTGCTTGGGTCAGAGGCCTCTGCAACTTACATTTCTTTTGTCTTTCATGTATCAGAACTGGACTTCCAAGAACATGATTTCCTTTAACAAGAAAAACTGTTCTTTACCTTGAGATGCGATTTCCAACAGCCTCACTTGTCATGACCAGTTCTGGTCCTTATATACTAGCTGAAGATTCTAGGAGCCCCAATCCCAAAACATCTGGGGACAAGAAAGGCTGGTTGAATCCCATCCAGTTAACTTGAGCTCTAATCACTATATATTTCAGGGAAGTTTTGCCTTCATTGTAGGGAGTCCAAATGCTTTAAAGTTGCCAAGTTTGAGCAACACTGTTATAGACAAACATTTTGATGTGTAGGGATCATAAACAACATTCTGTGAGTGGGTATGGGCAGGTAAGCAAGTACTACCAGGGTTTTCTGGTTTTTAAAAACTGGTTTTGGGGCAATTTTACTACACCTAAAACCACTGAAGTCAATTTTCCTTTATTTCCCCAGGCCATCCATAGTCGTATTCTAGCTTCCATAATGATAAAAAATACAAGTCATTATTCATTTTAAAGCGATAACATGCTTGCATAGGAGACCACATCAACAAGGAACACTTGTTAAAATATCCAGTCTCTTTCTGTTGTTGAGCCTCTTATTTCAGGGAAATTGCATTAGAGTTTGCTTACATGGCAAAGCACCAATTCTATCTCTAATTCAAGTCTCTGTAGAAAAGCAAAACACACAAATTTATTTCTGTTATTAGAGTCATGCTAAGGATTTTTCCTTACAGTACTTGCACCTAACCAAGGAACAAATGTTCCTGAGCAGCTTTTTTTCCTGGCACATCCACATGGCATTGCCCAATCTGATCCTCAACTCACATTTCAAAGTTTAAGTTGCTCCAGTGTTGAAGAAATATTGCCCACTATTTCCCTAATAGTGTTTACACCTAATACAAATTGACACACTTCCCTGCTTTGTCAACAGCAGTCAGGTGATGCATAGAAGGGGTGGTAGAATCAATCCAACTTCCATCTACTTAGGACAGGAGAGCCCAACTCTTGTAAACCAGACTCACTCTCTGCACCAAATCTGAGTCAGAAATAAACTGAACAGTAGCTGACCAGCACTCACCCTCTGGCTGCTCTAGTGTCCAGCTCTCCCCCCCCCATCTGAGCTGGTCAGCTGATGTATGGTTTCCATTGGCTGGTGGAGCTTGATGGGAGGGAAGGAGAGGGAAGCAAAGCCATGGGCAGGGCATCCATCTAGGGTTTTTTAATGTGTTCTGCACACATAGTAAATAAGGATGATCTCATTTGGCACCAATTCAGAAAAGACAAGATAGGTATCAACAATGAGGAAGCAAATTCTTCCCCCAGTATATTTTTCTGCAGTTTTAAGGATGCATGAAAGCTTCTCCAGAAAGGGGATCAACTCTTTCTGAAATGTCATGAAGAACTGATGCCACCTCCACTTCCCCTTCTGTACTTCTGCCCTCTGGTCCCCTTCTGACCACAAAAAGATCCAGATCCTTTTGGATAAATGAAACATCTTACATCTTTTTTCAGCTAATGCAATTTAAGCTACTTTACCAGCATACAAATGTCATTGGGGATTTCCTTATAAATAAGCTTGGCTAGGAGTAGATTACTGGTTTTGATTTCAGTTTTGAGTCCAACATAGCAATGAACTTGTTCCTCCTTCATTCCCCCATGGGACCCACCCATGCGCACACACACACCAATCACTGTGCTGGTTTGGGGCTACAGGAGTTTTACTCCTATCCCATCTGAAGTGGCCAGGATGGGGGATGGTTATCCTGAACTGAAATCCCTTCGATGACTCCTCAATCCATATGGTTGAAATAATATGAATACGGCAGAAAGGAAGGTACTTGAAAGCTTATACCCACAAACATAAACCCATAAGCCAAGCCCGACGAAGTGGAATCTGGAGCAAAACTACGCAAACCCACACACAGACACAAAAGCAGGCTCTTTCCAAAATTGTGACCAAGATTTTGCAAGATCCATAATAGATCTCATCTGTACTTCAACCAAACGGACTCGGCTCTCTCTTTCGTCACAGCTAGCCAGGAAATCTTTTCGTAATTACTCTGTTCCTATTAAGCAGAAATCAAAGAACTTCCTTTTCGAGCAAATTACCCAGAAAACGGCTCTGTTCTTGCAAAAGCAGCTATTCGTTTTTAGCCGCGAGTGCCGTGAAAAAGAAGTCCTCTTCTTTAGCGGAGAAGGTCGTGAGAATAATAATAAATATTTTTAAAAGCCAGGGAAGAGCGACATGCGAACCCGGCCCATCCCTTGGCCACCTTTGAAAATCAGCGGCGACAACTGGCTCTGGATAACAACGAAGCTCAATTCCCCCCCCCCAAATTATCTAGGGGCACCAGACTTGGGAGGAGGGGAGGAAAAGCCGCCGTTTCGGCCGCGCCCCCTCCTTCTCTCTTTCCTGTAAATGCGTGAAGAACCTTTGTTCCAGATTCTAAGTAAGTTTAACCTTGGATTGCGGCTTCCCATAACAATAAAAACCCTTCCCTTCCTTTCCTTACCTTCCAGCACTGGAAGAGTCACCAAAGGCCTCAGCAGAGCCCGCTCTGCTCGCCTTATCTACACTCCCCACCACCCCGAAAGCCGCGTCTCCACAGCCCTGCCCTCAGCGGCTCCTCCCCGCGCTGACTCACCCCACGTGGCTGCTTCGCTCCGGCAGCGACAGCCGCAACAGCAGCGCCTGATCCTGGGGCACGTGATTCCCTCCCACTCCCCTGAATCACCTGATCCATCCCCCCCCCCTCACCTCCTCGCGGCCTCCTTTAACCCAGCAAATCTGTTTTCGGGAGGTTCGCCAGGGGTGGGATGAGACGGGGAATGGTGAATTTAAGTTAGACAATCGTGTTGCTTTCCACCTTGCCTGGTTGGGACCAATGCAAATCTAGGGGTCAGAATCGGAGCTGGAAGGGACCTTAGAGGTCTTCTAGTCCAGCCCTCTGCTCAAGCAGGAGACCCAGTACCATTTCAGACAAGTGACTGTCCAGTCTCTTCTTAAAAACTTACAGTGATGAAGCTCCCACAACGTCTGAAGGCAAGCTGTTCCACTGGTTAACAGTGGCCGGTCCCGTTGCCCTGGGCAGTGCGTCCCAGTAGGCGCGGCTGAGATCGGCCCCCGGTTTACTCAGAAACAAAGCTGTTCCTGCAGTTTCATGCTTCACGGTTTGTCGTTTGCAGTCCTCTCAACGTTGGCATGGAAATAAATGCTGCCATAGGATTTTTAGTGTCTCTCTTTTTTTTTTTTAACAAGAGTGAGCCAATTTGCGATTTGGGGATTTTTGAAAAAAACATTTTTGTTCCGATGCTTACCAAACCTTTCCGGTGTTTGTGGATTTTTCCTTTAAGTGGCAAGCGAGAAATGTGTATGACCACCAGAAGTGAGATCTAATTTCTGCCAAATGTTGCCGTGTTGTCAAAAACCGCAGCCACTTAAATGGAAAACCCACAGACACTCGGTGTTTGTAAGCATCTGAACAAACGTTTTTCAAAAATCTCTTAATGAAAAGAAGGCAAGGAAAACCCCATATATGTGATGCAGCCACATCTCTTCCATCCTATTGCTCTAACCCCTGCACTTCTTAACAACCCCCTTCCCCCCAGACTGCTCCTATAAATGTACATTGTTATACCTTCCTGCAAAAAATACATAAACTTTCTTGTTTGTTAAGCATCGTGCTATATATTTTCCCCAGGAATAATTTGATTCCTGAATTTACCTGCTTTTGTCAAGGTGCAGTTCTAAGCAGATCAGTTTAGACATAATATCAGTTAAATTTAACAATCAGTAATATATAAAGGAGTATACAGTATTTGTAGTGCTGGGTTGAAATGAGGGGCCTTTGGTGCTCTCTGACCATGGTTGTTTTCTTGCAGACATTTCATTACCCAAACTAGGTTGGGTAATGCAAGGTCTGCAAGAAAACAACCTAGGGCAGAGAGCACCAAGGACCCCTCACAGTAATACACTCCCAGGTAAACATGAATGGAACTGCAGTTTAAGTTCCACAACAATCTTATAAAGTTAAGCTATTAGACAATGGCTTTCTAAGATAGTCCTGTCTGAATAGAGAATTGGATCCTAGATCTTTTGAGTCCTATTGGAGAGTTTCTAAATTCAGCTGTCCATTGCTTATTTTTGAATCCATAGTCCCTTCTTATTAAGACTAACCAAAATGTCAAAAAGAAAATAGAAAAGTCCCTAACTACTCAGAGCTTTTTTCACCAAACTGGGTGTTTTCCATCCATAGCTTCTGTATTTGTATCACTGCTAAGTGAAGCTTTCATTGCACAGTTTCTTTGCCTGAGACAGAGATTTTACAAGGACCTGAACTAAAGCTTCTATGGCAGTGGTGGTGAACCTATGGCACGCGTGCCAGAGGCGGCACACGGAGCCCTCTCTGTGGGCACGCGTGCCATGCCCCAGAGATGGCAACCGTCCTTTTTCAACCAGCTTCCCGCTAACTCGCCGAGGTCCCACATGGCCAGATGCATCCCAGCATGGCTGGTTTCCCTCCCCCCGTCCCATCCCTCTTGGCCTCACATGCTCTCCTTTTCCCGGGCACGACCCACTGCAGCGCCTCCTCAGCTGTTGGCCATCTGTCCAGCTTAGAGGCAGCTTCTCTGAACTTCTTGTGGCGGGCTGCGGAGCCCCAGAGTGCGCCGGTCGAGGGGCCGGCAGCCTGTGGCTGCTGACAGACACTGTTGGCCCCCATGCGCTCACTGACCTCTGTGTGCGGGGGTCGATGGTGTCAGGCAGCAGCTGACCCAGCCCCTGCCTCACCTCACCCCGCAGGACGAGCCTCCTGCCCACTGTCCCACCTGCCAGAGACCCCTGGATCTCCCCCAACCCTGCCTGGTTTCCAGAGGCATCCCTCCCCATGAGCAACATCGAGGTGACCACACCCACCTTGGCCACACCCACCCAGTCTGCCATGACCGCCACAGCCACACCCACCCAGTGGGCCACATCCACCTGGCACCCAGTGATAAATAAGTGGGTTTTGGGTTGCAGTTTGGGCACTCGGTCTCTAAAAGGTTCGCCATCACTGTTCTATGGCAACCATGTTTTTCAGGAAGGAAAACCTGGGAAGCGCACAATATTTTGATAATATAATCCTATACTTTAGCCTTTTCTGCCTAATCAAGGTGATCCTGTAATTCTATTTAAGGTTAGAGCAAAGTTGCCCTGCCTGAGAGTCCAGGGGTCTCCTAAAGATGCCACCTGTTTAAAATTAAGATAGATGGAGGGAATTATTAAATGCAAAGGCAATAATTAAATAACTATTAAATTCATTTTAAATTACAACAGAATAACATTAGTTTCTAACCTAGGCCAGAGGTGCAAACTTGCAATGTCACGTGATGTGTCGCAACGTATCATGACTTTTTTCCCATTGCTGGCAATGGGATGGGCACGGTTTCGGCATGACACATCCAGCCCACAGGCTGGCAGTTTGACACCCCTGACCTAGGCACAACCACTTTTATATCCTGGTTCCTCCTAGTTTTTGGAGTGTGGTCTCTCGCTCGCTACTTAACAGATAAGTGAAATGCTCTCAGATTATTACTTTTTTTTAAAAAAAAAATAGCCATTGCTCCTTTGTCCCAAAACCATAGGGGTAACTTGATGCCTACAAAAACCATGTACAAATTCATTCTGCCTGCAGTGACATGTCGCGACATATCATGACTGTTTTCGCATTGCCGGAGCTGGGCTGGGCGTGGCCTCCGCATGATGCAACCGGCCTGCGGGCCGGCAGTTTGACACTCCTGCTCTATAGCTTTGAGGGAACTTCAAGCAATGCTTGCTCACTAGCCTGCTTCATGTATCCTGTTGTGCCATTCAATACTTTGTCTACTTTTAGTTTACATAATGTGTGAATGACAAGGACACTATGGCTTTGTTCAATCAATGACCATTTTTGCTGTACAAAAGCTGTGTGTAAATATAGTATCTTTTTGATGATACTTTGGCTGGGCCTGAGGAAAAATACTACTGAATATTTTGTAATATTATCTCCCAGTCCATTGCCTGATGCCTCCTCTACAGTTAAGGTCCAGATTCAATCAACTCTGCCTTTGATTTGATTGGGAATTACTTTATTCTTTTTCAAATGCTATTGTATTGCCTTGTTTCTTATCTTCTTATTTTCTTGTTATCTTATACTTTTACAACATCAACCACCTTGTGAGGATGATACTCTAAAAGGCAGCATATCTTTTAAGCATATAAACCAAAGGGCAGCATGACTCATAATCCCTGACTTTGTTTATGATTCCCCAAAGGCTGAACCAATCAGAAATTTGCTAATGAGCTGTAATGTTTAATATGACTGAAAGAAAGGTATATTAAACACAGTTTAATGTGTTTAACTGGGAATAATTAGGTAAATAATATTTTGTTAAATTTAAATGAAATTAAATAAAAAAAATGTTCTGATTTTGCATAGATTTTATAATAAGGACACCAGCATGCCCGTCAAAGTCCAGATGTAGCCAGGGTCTTGAAGAAGTGCCTTTTTTAAAATGAAATTTTATGAACTCCTGAACTATGGCTAACAATTGTCCAATAAATAAGAATGTAAATTGGATCCTAAGTATCAAACAATGGTCTGTGATTTCACTGGATAAAATGAAGGAGATTTGTAGTTAACCTGCAATAGGACTACAGGACCACTTTCATGTCCTTACTCATATGAACTAAAACAACCTAAGAAAAAATTATTCAAGCATGCATTTCCTCTTAATCAATTTCAACATCTGCAGAATTTTTGAAAACAGAATAGAGATGACAAAACATTTACAAACATCTGTTCCTACCAGCTACTTCTGCAGAAACATGCTGGGTATAATTGGCTTCTAGATAAAGGATCAAGGGAAGATAGATCCCCAAGAGATCAATTTGATTATGTCTGTAAAGGAGAATTTGGATTTTAAAACACAGTAAAACGTTTGAACTCTCATGTCTTTTTAGTTAATTGGCCTGGCATCATGAGGAATGGCTGGTAGGTTGTTCATGAACTAGTATGAAACAAATAATGTTGTATTTGCTAGAGTTTCTGTAAGAATTGGTTATGCTTTCAAATTGCTTATAGATCACATGATTTCTTGACAAGGTCACTAATTTGGCAGAGGGTCCATGGCAGCCAAATCACATTGCATGATGGTTTATTTACAGTCTGTAAACAGTGTCAGCTGCAGATCTATGCAGATGTTGAATGGGGGAAAAGTCATTAATGTGGAAAAAGCTTGGGCTGGTTGGTGGTTTTGCTCTGTATCTGATAACCTAATTTTAGACTGAGCAACTCTATTGTTGATGCTGTTCCCTTTTTCAATAATAGAAAGAAGAACTGCATTATTAGGAGAATTCAGTTTTTACTTGATTAGATACAGAGAATAAGCCTGGCTTGTAATAGGGGGACTCTTCATGCTGCCCTGGGCAGATGGGAGCTAATTTGATTCCTTAGAGCTTGGATTTGGATTTTGTGAAATCTCATGGTTGTGAGTTGTCTTCTAGAATCTAGACCTAAAATGGATGATGATGATGTTCATTAATTAAGAATTTGTAATAGAATATCCATTAGCTCATAGGATGCATGTGGCC